TTCAAATGAAGTGGAATTTCTTAACAGTTACATAGCCTCTCGTGGATAAGCATAGCCATCTCCGTACCTATCAGCGAGACTCTAATAAACCGGCATGTGATTCATAGCTCCTATGAACCTAGAGCTCTGCTACCAACTTGTCACGACCCAAGTTCGCCCTCCGTGAACAGTCGTGACGGCACCTAGTCCCTACGACTAGGTAAGCCTAACTAATGCGGAAAAGAAACAATTGCGGAAAGAAAACAATTCAAAACAGAGATAACAAAATGAAACAGTGTTTAAAATGCCGCCCGGCATATAACAGTACAAGAATCTCAACCTAACACTCCAAAAATCCGGAACTCCATGAATCACAAGCTAAGAGTACACAAAAGGCTCTAACTCCAAAAATGTTTATCAACAAGGAAGATACAGAAGGGCAATACTAGTACAGAGAATAGAAAGGGACTCCTCGGTCTCCGGACGTGGCAGATATACCTCGAAGTCTCTACAGAAGCGCCTCGCCTCAAGGGTGATAAGAGTGAGTAGATGTACCTAGATCTGCACACGTAAAAACATGTGCAGGAAAGGGCATGAGTACACCACAGCGGTACCCAGTGCGTGCCAAGCCTAACCTCGATCGAGTAGTGAAGCGGAAGGTCAGGGCCCTACCGGTCATATACAATAATATATAAGGAAGGTGAGCAGTAGTAAAGAAACACAAATAATGAGAGAAACAACAACCACAACCAAGGCAAACAATCTCAGAAGGTATACAACTCAACATAGAGATAACAACCGGGGGTCTACCAGGATCCCATCCTGTAGCCCTACAAGTAAATAATTAGTGGATCTCCCGGGTGCTATCCCGTAGTCCATATCACTGTGCAGGGGGATCTACCGGAATATCACATCCGTAGTCCTAAATAAACAGACAATAGGGATCTACTGGGAACCACCCGTAGTCCCAATGTAAACACGCAGCAACTACACAAAAATAATCAACTCAATTCAATTTAATATCAAAATAGACAGGTAATTCTAACCTAGCATGTTGCACAGAGTTTAGATAAGGCAGTTTGAAGAAGCATGCAATTTAGTCATTTAGTCATGCTTTCCTAAGCTAACAGTAAGCTCAAAGTTCAAGTAGTGTAAACAGTGAAGAAAAATACGAAATTATAGATACATAAATGTAAAATAGGATTTTCAACAATCAGCACAAGTACGCGCTCGTCACCTCACGTACAAGGCATTTCAAATATCACAGTACCAAATCCTAAGGGGAGTTCCCCCACACAAGGTTAGACAAGCCACTTACCTCGAACCAACTCAATCAAATCTATACCACGTTCTTGCAACGAGTATCCGACTCCAAATGTTCCAAATCTATTCAAAGTAATTGCATAATGTAAATAACACTTCAAGTAACTAATTCTACTAATTAATTCTAACCTAATACGCGAGATTAGCTAAAATGACCAAAACACCCCCGGGCCCACGTCTCGCAATCAGGTAAAATTTACAAATTCGGAATCCTCACACTCTCACGAATTCAGTCATACCAAAAGTACCAAAATTGAACCTCAAATGGTCCCTCAAATCACCACTCAAAGCTCTGCAATTAACCAAGCCCTAACCCCCAATTTACCACTGATTTTCCTTCAAATTTCATGCTTACAATGATAAAAATCACCATAATAACGAGCTTAAGGACCAAAGACCTTACCTCAATGAATCCTTTTGAAAATCCCCCTTGAAAATGCCCTCCATAGTTTCACCCCGAATGAAAAATTGAGATAATTTGTCAAAAATCGCGAAGGGTGGAATTTATAGTTTCTGCCCCAGCAAAACCGCACCTGTGATTAAATAGTCGCACCTACGGTCCGAGGTGCGTACTTGTGAACTTCACTTAAAACACCAGGGCCACACCTGTGCAAGAAATCCCGCATCTGCGCAATCGCAGGTGCGACCAGGACCTCGCTTCTGCGATCCCAGCCTGCCCCTTTCTTGGCCGCATCTGCGGCTTCCTATCAACTCCTACGTGCCCGCACCTGCAGTCCCCTAGCCGCAGGTGCGGTTATGATAGCAATAGAACTCCTTCAGCTGCAAAACTCAACTCAAAATTACCCGTTAACCACCGAAATCACCCCGAGGCCCCCGGGACCTCAACCAAAGGCTCGAGCAAGTCATATACCACCTTCGAAACTTGTACCAATCCTCAAAACACCTAAAGAAACATCGAAACATCGAATTAACCATGGATTCAAGCCTAAAAACTCTAAAAACTTCCGAATTCCTCTTTTGATCAAAAAGTCTATCAAACGTCGTCCAAATGACCTGAAACTTTGCACACACATCCCAAATGAGACAACGGACCTACTGCGACTTCCGGAACTCCATTCCGACCCCGATATCAAAATCAAACTACCGAACCAAAAACTTCAAAAATTCAACTTTCGGCATTTTAAGCCTAATAAAGCTACGGACCCCCAAAACACAATCCGAACATGCCCCTAAGCCCAAAATCACCTAACGGAGCTAACGGAACCAATGAAATTTCATTCCGAGGTTGTCTTCACACTGCTCCAACTACGATCCAAATTCTAAAGATTATACTCTCATTTAGGGACTAAGTGTCCCAAAACATTCCGAAACTCAAAAAGAAACCTCCCGGCAACTCAAAATAGTAGAAATAAACACGGGGAAAGCAGTTAATAGGGGATAAGGGCATTAATTCTTAAAACGACTGGCCAGGTCGTTACATCACTAATCTCAAATTGATTCATCTTTTGAGGTTGAGACTTAATCGAGAGAGGAGTTTCTATTAAACAATTGAATTAATAACCAAGTGAATTCGAGAGACTCACTTGAATATTAGAAGTGATTTATCTAGGATCCTATCAATCCTATTTCCCCCAAATTGATATCTTCCTTTGCCTTCTACTTGCGTTGTTTGTCATTAGTCAATATCTTAGACTTTTAGTTAATTTTAGTTCAAATCACATAATCTCCATTATTGATCATCTTGGATAGCATTCTAGCTTCAAACTACGATAATAATGATTAACTCCAATCCCTGTGGATACGATATTATAATTTACTATATTCGACTAGCGAGCATATTTTAGTGTGTGTTTTGCGCTCGTCAGATTTTGGCGCCGTTGCAGGAGGATTGGCAATCAATATTGTTTGAAATAGTTTATAGTGCTCATTCAGGAATTTTTCTTTTTCTTTTTTATTTTATTTTTCTCTTTTTATATTTGGGTGTTCTTTGACTGTGCGCAGGCTACAGGTTAGATTGGTGCATGACCCGATCTTCTAGGAAGGAATTGAACCATACGAACCAAAAATCGAGAAACATCTGCGACAGTTGAGGAAGTAAAGAATTCTCTCCGAGAATAGAGAAACGGTTGGGCAATCCTCCACCAAAGAAAAGATGGCTGGAGATGATGATAATGTTGATTTGGATGCAAGAGAGGCAGCCCAACTCAGAGAGAAGGCTGCAAGAGATGCTGAAGAAGAAACACTTACAGATGCACACATTGCTTATTAGGAGGAGAGAGCTCGAAGACTAGCGCAGAATCAGCCTTTAGTTCCAGACCAGTTCGGAAACATAGCCCCAGACCAAGGGTGACCACTTGGTGATTATGCTATACCTGTTTACAACCAAGGTTTATCCAGTTTGAGACCACCTCCAGTTGCAGCCAATAATTTTGAGTTAAAGAAGGGGTTGCTCCAAACCCTACAAAAACAACTGTGTCTTTAGAGGTAAGATGAAAGAAGATCCAAACAATCATTTGACGGACTTTGAGGAGATCATGAAAACCTTTCAATATAATGGTGTGTCACAAGATGCAGTTTATCCAAGGGCATTCCCCTTTATTGTCAAAGATGATGCAAAACACTGGCTAAGAAGCTTGCCCCAGGGATCAATTAGAACATGGGAGGAGATGACAAAAAAATTTCTTGCTAAATATTTCTCCTCAGCTAAAACGGGCAAGTTTAGAAGAGAAATCCATAACTTCTGCCAGAACGAGACTGAGACTGTGTTTGAAGAATGGGAGAGGTTTAAAGAGATTGTGCGAAAGTGTCAACACAGCAGAATTGAACTCTAGATGAAACTCCAGGACTTTTGGGATGGTTTGACACCGACATCACGTAGAACATTGAGCAATGCAGCTGGAGGTCCGTCAATGAAGAAGACATTAGAGGAGATAGTAACTATTCTAGATGAATTATCTGAAGATGCAAATCAGTGGCCCTTAGAGATTCCTAAAAGAAGAAGATCAACTGGTGTTCACCAAGTTGATACTAACACATTTGTGCAGGTACAACTTGATGCCATGGCAAAGAAATAAGGAATCTAACGTTAGCTTCAATACACAATGAGCCTCATGTAGCATGTGATATATGTGGAAGAGGAAACCCTACTCATGAGTGTCACGCTACCATGGAGGAAGTTAATGTTGTGGGTAATTACAACTTCAATGCAATGGGTCACAAGCACCCCGATTTTTCATGGAGTTCACCTGGAGGTACAAAAAATTCATGGCAACAAAATAACTCCAAATTTCGAGAAGCTACTAGTTTTGTGAACTAGTCGAGGCTGCAGTTTCAGCCTCAACAACCAATTCAGTCTGGGTTAGAAGATTGGATGAAGTCATTCATTGTCAAGACTGATGAGAGATTAGATGCTCATGGGGCAGCTATCAAAGAACTTGGGACAGGTTTGCGTAACTTGGAGAGACAAGTGGGACAAATTGCCAATATATTATCTGAGAGAATCCTAGGTACTCTGCCAGTTGATACTGAAAAGAATCCCAAAGAAACAGTAAATGCTAGGAAGCGGTCAAGTGTTGGAAGAACCCACTCTGGTCCAAAAAGGTAGTGTCCCTAAAAAAGAAATTGGGGAGCAGCTGAAAAATGAAGTTGATAAAAAGAAGAAAGGAAAGAAGGGATCTGGGAAGAAGAAGGAGGAGGACAGTTTGAGAAGGGATGAATCTAATAAAGAGAGTAAGCATATGCCTGCTTTACCTTTTCCCCAAAAGCTTTATAGAGAGAAGCTCGATAAACAATTTGAGAGGTTTCCAGATATGCTGAGACAGGTTAATGTAAACTTGCCATTCACAGAGGTGCTCTCCCAAATTCTAGCTTATGCAAAATTCTTGAAGGAGATCCTTACAAAGAAAAGGAAGGTCGAGGAGAGATCAGTGGTCAAACTTACAGAGCATTGCAGTGCTATCTTGCAAAATAAACTGCCACAAATGTGTGGAGATCCAAGGAGTGTTATTATACTGTAATGACCCGGCCGGTCATTTTTGGAATTTTTACGCCCCGATCCCCCATTAACTGCTTCCCCTAAGTTCATTTCTGCTATTTTGGTTTGCCGGGACGTTCGGTGTTGAGCTTTGGAATGTTTTGGGACACTTAGTCCCTAAATGAGAGCATAAGTGTTGAAAAGTGGTCCATAGTCGGAACAGAATGAAGATGACCTCAGAATGGAAATCCGATGGTTCCGTTAGCTCAGTTAGGTGATTTCGGGATTGGGAGCGTGTTCGGAATGTATTGTGGGAGCTCGCAGCTCATTTAGGCTTGAATTGCTGAAGTTTGAATTTTTGAAGTTTCCAGTTCGATAGTGAGTTTTTGATCCGAGGGTCGGATTGGAATTTCGGAAGTTGCAGTAGCTCCGTCATGTCATTTGGGATGTGTGTGCAAAATTTCAGGTCATTCGGACGTGTTTTGGTTAGGTTTTTTGATCGAAAGCGTATTTGGAAGAAACTTGTAGTTCTTAGGCTTGAATCTTTGATTTAATCGGGTTTCCGGTGTTGTTTTAGGTGTTTTAAGGATTGGTACAAAGTTCGAATAAGGTATTAGGTGGTATTGGTGCTTTTGGTTGAGGTGCCGGGGGCCTCGGGATTATTTCGGATGGTCGACGGGAAGAAATTCTAAAGTGTGCAGCAGCAGATTTTGAGTCTTCTGGTATTTCCGCTTCTGCGGCTTGGGAACCGCAGAAGCAGAGCCGCAGAAGCGGCTTCTTCATCGCAGAAGCGATTCCAGGCATCTCCGCAGGAACCGCAGAAGTGGTCCCTTCCTCCGCATAAGCGGGACCGCAGAAGCGGGATTTGTACCGCAGAAGCGGAGTTTGTCCATAAGTGAAAAACCGCAGAAACGGCTCGTGGTTCGCAGAAGCGGGACCGCAGAAACGGAAATGACTGTTCTAAAAAGGGGATAATTCGAGGGTTAATTCAAAAGTTAGAAAAAACAATTGGGAGCTCGGGAGAAGGCGATTTTGGGTGGATGTTGAAGAGAAAATCGCTGGGTAATGTTTTCTTGACCCTATTTAGTTGTATTCCATCAATATATAGTTAAATCCACCATTAGAATTGCAATTCAAGGTCAACATTGGGGAAAATTGGAAGAAACTTCATAGACCTAATTATTGAGTTTTGAGTGGGCAATTGACCTCCGATTTGGGAGATTTTTATATGGTTAGACTCGTGAGAGTACGAGGGTTCGGAAAATGTAAAAATTATTCGATTCCGAGATGTTGGCCTGAGGGGCGTTTTGGTCATTTTACCTATTTTTGCGCCCTAACTGTAAATTTATTAGTGGAATCAGTTGTTTGCAATATTATTTACGATATGTAATTGAATTTAATAGATTCGGACCATTTGCAGTTGGATACTCGTGGCAAAGGCGTGGTTTCTATTAATATTGAGCCGGTTCGAGGTAAGTGGCTTGTCTAACCGTATGTGGGGGACCTTTCCCCTTAGGATTTGTTATTTGTTGAGTTGAGTGCCTTGTACGGGAGGTGACGAGCACGTACTTGAGCCAATTGTTGAAAATCTGGTTTTCTTAAGATATTGAGATTGAGTTCCTTTCATATTTGCTTTATTCTACTTGCAATTATAATCTGTGCTAGATTAGGAAAGCATGCTTAGTTGATGTAACTTGCCTAATTGCTTAAGTTGCCTTGACTGTACTACGTGAAGCATGCTAGGACAGTACTACCTGTTGCTTGTCTTTTGTACTTCGTTTCCGTGTACCTTCTGGTTGTGATTGTGCATTTACATTGGGACTACGGATGTGGGATTCCGGTAGCTCCCCCCCTGTTTGTTTACTTTGGGACTGCGGGTTCGATTCCCGATAGATCCCCCTGCACTTTTACTTTGGGACTGCGGGTTAGATTCCCGATAGATCCCCCAGCACTTTCACTTTGGGACTGCGGGTTCGATTCCCGATAGATCCCCCTGCACATTGATGGTTGGACTACGGGACGGTATCCCGGGAGATCCTTTGGAGGTACACATATGATGGACTACGGGATGGTATCCTTGGAGATCCACTGGATAGTTGAGAAAAAAGGGGCTACAAGACGGTATCCTGGGAGACCCTCATTGTTATCATTGTTATTGAGCTGTGTTTACCCTATGTTTATTCTGTACTCGTGTAGTTGTTATAGCCTCGTTGACTTGTCTTATCTCACTGCTGTACTTATTATATCTGTCAAATTTTTATACTGTTAAATTATTATTATTATTATTATATTTTGTCTCAGTAGGTCCCTAACCTTCCTCGTCACTACCCAACTGAGGTTAGGCTTGGCACTTATTGAGTACCGCTGTGGTGTACTCATGCCCTACCTGCGCATGTTTTTCATGTGCAGATCAATTAGGTACCTCCACTCAGGCGCACTATCAGTGAGGCAGGAGGACTACGGAGACTTCGAGATAGATCTGCTGCGTCCGCAGACCGACGAGTCTCCCTCTTACTCTATCTTTAGTACTTAGTTTTCCTTCTTCGGTTGTTAGAAATTCTGGAGTTTGGAACCTTTACTATATGCTGCTGTAGCCTGTGTTGCCCGTGAGTTTCCGGGTTTTGGGAATTGTTTTAGACTTGTGATATTGAGTTGTACTTGCCAAGCGGCATTCAGTACAGTTTCCTTTAGATATTTGATTTGATTTTCTCTATTTTTCCGCAATTATTATATTTCCGCAAATATTATGCTTACCTGGTCATGGGGACCAGGTGCCGTCATGACATGTTCACGGTTGGTGAAGTAGGGTCGTGACAAGTTGGTATCAGAGCTCTAGGTTCATAGGAGTCACGGAACACAGGCCGGTTTATTAGAGTCTCGTTGATCTGTACAGAGACGTCTGTACTTATCTACGAGACGCTATGTAACTGTTTACGAAAAATCTTCACATCATTTGAATTCCTTGTCGTGCGATATTTTTGACATCAAATCTAAACTTCTATCTTCTATTCTCTCACATATGGTGAGGACACGCGCTACACGAGATGACCAGGCACCCGCGCCCCCTGCTGCCACCGCTAGAGGCCGGGGCCGGGGCCGGGGTAGAGGTCGAGGGCGCGCACGAGGTGCAGCCAGAGAACCTGCGCGAGCTGCCGGCGAGGTGCCACCAGCAGATTCAGTCGGAGCCCAGGCCGTTCATGAGCATGTACACCACCTTAGCTCAGGCAGGGTTGTTTCCCCTTGCTGCAGCCACGTCCCAGGCCGGGGGAGGAGCGCAGACTACAGCCGTCTGCACTCCTGAGCAGCGTGTGCAGGTTGAGCAGGTTCCCGAGATTATTCCCCCACCGCCTGCAGTGCCAGTTCAGCCCGAGGATGGGTCAGCTGCTTCAGAGGACGAGCAGCGGAGACTTGAGAGGTTTATGAAATAGGATCCCCCAATGTTCAGTGGCTTAGCATCAAATGATGCCTTGAGATTTTTGGAGGAGTGTCATCGTATTCTTCATACTATGGGCATAGTAGAGTCCAACGGGGTTTCTTTCACTGCTTTTCAGCTTCGGGGAGCCGCCTATGATTGGTGGCGTACTTATGAGTTAGACAGTCCAGCCGAGGCTGCTTCACTGACTTGGACCCAGTTCTCGGACATGTTTATGAGAGAGTTTGTTCCCCAGAGCCTCAGAGATTCATGGCGTGCAGAGTTTGAGCACTTGCGCCAGGGTGCTATGACAGTTTCAGAGAATGCCATCCGTTATACCAGGTTGGCCAGGCACGCACCGGCTTTGGTTGCTATAGTTTGAGAAGAGAGTTCGCAGGTTCATTGAGGGCCTTATGGCTCGAGAGTTCGAGATGGACATTCCTTATCAGCAGGTAGTGAGCATTGCTAGGAGAATTGAGAGTATGCTCGCCAGGGAGCGAGGAGAGAGGGAGGCCAAGAGGTCTCGAGAGTCGGGCCACTACTCTGGTGCCCGTACCTCATCAGCAGGTCGTTATGGTAGAGGTTTTTCTGGTCGCCCTGTACATTCAGCTTTACCAGCAGCCGGCAGTACTCCAGCTCCGCCTACACCACAGGAGCCTTACTATGCGCCTCCAGTTTCTAGCGCGCCTCCTGCGCGGGGTACTTCTAGAGGTTAGTCTAGAAGGCCTAGCCCCAGCCAGTCATAGCCACCGCGCCCTCCCAGAGCTTGCTTCGAGTGTGGTGATACACGCCACATGGCTAGGGACTGCCCTAGACTAGGTAGGGGTGCATCTTCACATACTACCCAGCCACAGCGTGCTCCTCAGAGTTCTCAGGCGATGGTCACAGCTCCCGCTACTACCCTACCTGCCCAGCAAGCTAGGGGCGGAGGTAGGGGAGATAGAGTTCGCCCTCGAGAGAGGGGCCGTGCCAGATATTATTGTATTCCTACCCGTACTGAGGTTGTTGCCTCCGACTCCGTCATCACAGGTATTATACTGGTTTGTCACAGAGAGGCATCGGTTCTATTCGATCCAGGCTCTACTTACTCTTATGTGTCTACTTACTTTGCTCCACATTTGGGTGTGCCTCGGGATTCTTTGAGTGCCCCGTTTATGTTTCTACTCCTGTGGGAGATTCTCTTGTTGTGGACCGCATTTATCGGTCATGTTTGGTTACTATTCGTGGTTTTGAGAGAGAGCAGATTTATTGTTACTCGGTATGGTGGATTTTGACATTATTCTGGGCATGGACTGGTTGTCGCCCGACTTTGCTATCCTTGATTGTCACACCAAGACCGTGACGCTAACTATGCCAGGTGTTCCGCGTGTTGAGTGGAGTGGTACTTTAGATCACACTCCCAGTAGAGTTATCTCTTTTCTTAAAGCTCAGCGCATGGTCGAGAAGGGGTGTGCCGCGTATTTGGCTTATGTGAGAGATGTTAGTGTTGATACCCCTTCTGTTGATTCTATTCCAGTGGTACGGGATTATCCCGATGTATTTCCAGCTGATCTTCCAGGCATGCCGCCTGATAGGGACATTGATTTTGGCATTGATCTGTTGCCGGGCACTCAGCCCATTTCCATTC